TCGTCAAAAGTGATCAAAGTACGCTAGGTGTTCATGTAGGTATTTATTAAATGCTAAATAAGTTTAGTGGGAGTTACCATGTGATGACGCTTCAATTAATCAAGTTTAATTTTTTTTAAAATCTAATTACACAATAGGTGTCACTTCACTATACATGCTATTAAAAGGTATCATTAAATGCCGTACTTTTTATAATGTAGCCATTCTGCAAAAGATGGCCTTCCTATCAACCAGCTGTTCCAGTATCTCATACAATGTTTACAATCACAGTACCAGACGTATAATATGACAGAACTGAATAACCACAGCAGTGTTGCCAGATTTAAAGTGTCGTGTCGCCTCGATGTACTTCGGAGGTAGCCCAAATCGCCTAATCTTTAGAGGATATTAATTTAAATTCGCAAAACGTAAACATTTTGTGAAGAAGTCATTCCCTGAAAATGATAATAAGCGCCCAAATCCTTTCAGGAATTTACAACAGTTGTAAATTATATTGCATTTCAGTTTTCGTACTTTGAGATCAAAGCGGCGTGTCATCCTTCCTTTCTTCTAATACTAACAGACTAATCCTTCACCTGTACCTACCCGGCCATAAAATACACGGATTGAGAAATTTCAATTGTATTAGAGATTCTGTTAATCTGGGTGCATAAATAAATTTGCATAAATACGTCTGTACCGCAAATACCTAGAAAGCATAATGAATCGTTATTGTTGAAAAATGGCCCCGTCTTGACGTTTATTTAGTAGCCCAAAATGTCGCATGTCTCAAAACGGAATTTTTTGTCGCAAAAATGACATGAATCGTCGCCCAATTTGCGACATATCGCCCAATCTGCCGCCAGAGGCTATTGTAAAACTGCTAACGTAGATATAGGTAATGTTTCTAACGTTATTGTACTATTTATATTTATACCTTTCTTTGCGAGTTGACCATCGTCGACGTTCCGTTTCACTAGTAAAATTTTGGTGCTTTCGCAAAGTAATGAATAATATTTCAGCCAAGGTCTGATGATGAATCATAGATTCGAAGTCGATTATTTATAGTAATTGTAAAGTAAATTATTTGAGAAAACTCGTTTTTAATCTACATAAACATAATGAATATAGGTACTCCTTAAAATGTTTACAGGAAGTACTTTTTTGCACTTAATATACTGACACATGAACACTAAAATGTGCCTCATTTATCTTTATTATTTGGGCCTTGATGACTTTTCGGTTCGTCTGTATGGCATGACCTTATTTTAGGTATACATAACAAGTTAAAAAAGTAATCGTAAACGATTTACAAAAAGTGCATTTCCACTTGTATTCATTTCCCATTTGTAAGATGCAACTTCTGTTAAAATCGTAAAAATCCGGCCACAAATATGAAAGATAGCATTGCACATGTGCAATCCATTTTTGACGTGCTACATACTTCAATTTCAGTGTATAAGAAGAATTTCATTTCAATGCTTTTCTAAATAACAAAATTGGAACTGCGCATGCGCAAACCTAAATTTTGAAACTAATGTTAGATTTTCCTTTGTTTTAAGCGCCTAAGTATCAAATTTCACTTAAATGCTTCCATAGATAAAAAAATTGGCACTGCGCGTGCGCAAAACCAAACTTTGAAACTGGCGTTTGATTTTCCTTTATTTGTACCAAATTTCATTTAAATACTTTTATAAATAAAAAAGTTTGCAATTCGGTTTATAAATGGTCGAGATGCGAAAAGGGCACTGTGAATTTTGAATCGATTCGACTCAACTTTTGGCATTGCGTATTATGTGGATTGGATGTAAAAGCGATCGGACATTTCTAAACAAAGTTATCGTTCACACGGACAGATAGTGGGACAGACAGACCAAGGACGAGAGGGACAGACAGACCAAGGACCAGGCGTACAGACCAACAGACAGACGACAGACAGCAATACAAAATTATAAACAAACGGGAAAAGTGTAAAATTATGGAACATGTAAAAACCGGTTTCTTGTTTTTTTTTTACAATAACTTTTTTAGCAATAAACGCAGAAAAAATTCCTTCCTTGGTGCAAGCCTCGACACCATCACGAACCAAATAGCGAAAAAAGTAGAACAATAGCTCTTAAGATAAAGAACTAGTAGCGTCTCATAGAACAGAACGAGCGGACGGACGGACAAAGTGGCCACAATAGCGCATTTTTTAAAATTTTGGTTGAAATGCACTAAAAAGAAATGCAAATTTCACCACTTTTTGGGAGTGGCTGCCTACTCGACTGCCTAACGAAACATATTGGACCCTCGGTTTATTTGGAAAAAGTGCTTGTTTTGATCCCCTCTACCACCCATCTTTACATCTTTATATGTAACACTAACACCCTGTATATATAAAGAGGTATCCTGTAATAATATGTAATGAAAACGAGTAAAAAATGACCAAAAAAAAATGAGAGAGAGCGAGAGGGAGAGGGAGAGGGGGAAAGAGGGAGAGAGCGAGAAAGAAAATCGCAGATCGTAGAAGCAAGCCGTTTCAAAATTTTGAAAATACATCAATGTACTTAACCAGGAAAATGAATGCAAAATATTGACGTGAAGATATACAGTACAGAGCTTTGCATTTAAAAAATACCAACACTGGGTCAAATCCTAGAAACGGAGGTCCGAAAACTATTTTCGACTATGCCACTGGATTCTACCTAAAAATATCAAATGTAGGATGTTTTTACCTTTTTTCTATCTAACGTGGGTAGTAAGATATAATAACGTCCCAAAAAGTCAAACTTTTCGTTTTCACCCTGTATCACAAACAAATGTACCGGGTGACCCAATAAGACGGTTCCTCGGCCATATTTCGGGAACCGTTCGTCGTATGACTTAGGGGTAAAAAAATTATTGGGTAAATCGGTTATGAAGAATCACTGGAAAATATTTTCAAGTTCTAAAAATGGCCACTAGAGGACTTAACGGCCATCCTAAATATTAAAATTGCATTTTCTATAAATTTCGCATAGTAAACTAAACATTCTTTTTTCACCTTTTTAAGGAGAACCAGTTATCTATCATTTTCGTAAAAACAAAAACCCAGTTATTTCAAACAAGGCAACAAGAATCAACCCAAATATAGTTAATTTAGTTGAATCCTTCTCCGCCAGGGGGCTAGTTTTGACACCGATCCAAAATCCTAAAACAAAAAAAAATCAAATAGAATGATATGACTTTTTCTTAATGAAAAGGTAGCCAAATAACACCCAAAGAGGTCAGTGAAAACCGTTTTTCAAAATCTCGTTCCTAACCTCAAATATTGGGAAAAGGAGATTAATTAATAAATAATAATGCTTAAATTGTATCTTAAATTTACTTTTGCCGTATTTCCGGTATTTGTCGATGGTGTGAAAGATTGTTTGAAGAAGCACCCTACACTTTTAGGTAGGGCTTGGAAAATTAAACAAATGAAACACGATGCATTATAAAATAATAACAGCCGTAATTTGTAAATTATTCTGCTGTGTTTACATTCAGAAAGTGCAGTTTTTTGAATTTGTAATCTTTTCTAAAATGACGATTTAAAACCAAGAAGCTGGCGATATATTTGGAGTGTTTTCAAAATGCGACCATCGCTGCCCGCATCTTCTATTTGTGTCTTTGTTTGAAATCGGCATTTTAGAAAATATTACAAATTCAAAAAACTGCACTTTCTGAATGTGAACACAGCAGAATAATTTACAAATTACGGTTGTTATTATTTTATAATGCATCGTGTTTCACGAGGTGTTTCATTTGTTTAATTTTCCAAGGCCTACCTAAAAGTGTAGGATGCTTTTCCAAACAATCTTTCGCGCCATCGACAAATAGCGGAAATACGTCAAATAAGATACAATTTAAGCATTTTCCCAATATTTGAGGTTAGGAACCAGAGTTTGAAAATTTTTACTGGCCTCTTTGTATGTTATTTGGCTACTTTTTCATAAAGAAAAAGTCATATCATTACATTTGATTCTTTTAATTTTTTTAGGATTTTGGATCATGATGTCAAAACTAGCCCCCTGGCGAAGAAGGATTCAATTAAATTAACTATATTTTACATTAACTTTAGAACTATTGATTATCTTTTCAGCAGTCTAAATAAGTTTTGTCGCAATCCGGGGCTGCGTGAAATTGATCCCCCAAATTTTTTCAAATTGATTTTTAGACCTTATTAGCCGGATCTCTATTTACGATTTATCAACATCTCTGGAACATTGAGGGGGGTTTTAATTAATTTAATTTTAAAGTTATCGAAAACAGTATGCTAATCCGCAACTCTATTCATTAAATTAAACTAATAAATAAGGTACCTAGGTAAGTATACAGCGCGTCAGCGCCTACTTATCGGTTTAAATTAAAGTTGAAATAAGACTGCACGAAGTCACGTAGTTCCATATCAGCCCATTTGCCCAATTTTATACAGTCAATTGAATTTGATAAAAGTCAAATATCATATCGCACTAATTGCTTACGCCGGCCCTGAACGAAAACTGTTTTTCCCATTATAATTTTTTCTGTTTGTCCTCGCCTCCAGTTGTCATGATTTTCGGAAACGGATATTCCAAAAACGGCGTGGGTACAATGGAAGCGAGTTTAGGTACTTGACAACCAGGTACATTGGTTAATTAATATTCGAGCCGCCAATTTTTGGTCACGGAAGCTTGTCAGAGAACAAAGATCAGTCTTTATCCTAGACAGCATTCATTTTGCAGTTAAAAAATTAAATAATGTTATCAAACGGAGTGATATCATCGACTTGTGAACAATACCTTCAATTATACCTTGGTTTTTCTCACATTATTGCGGGTAGAGCAGTTTTACGTTAATATTGAAAGTGCTTCTCTTACAATTTGCTGTTTCCAAAAAGTACATGGAGGTTGTCTTATTATTCGATTCTTTACACTGCAGTTGCGTTATCTTTGTATATGAATGAACAAACATGTTACAATGCAGTGCAGACAATTAGTTTTTTAAACAATAAAACGTAAAGATCATAAATAACTTACCTTGGGAAGGTAAAAATTTGAGCACATGTTAAACATGAATACAGGAGGTGTATTTCAATTTGAAAACTATCGAAACACGAGCACAACGATTTCCTCTGGTGCTGCGATTGCTACTGGAAGAAATTCAATTCCCGTCGAGACGTCGACCCGTCCCGTGATCCAGTCATATGAGTAAACCGCAACTTTGTTAAGGTTTGTTTACTATGGTGCTATGAGTCACCTATCAAAGAGCCAACCCGAGACCCAAAATCAAGTGCATGAACAGATAACGACGATACCGTCTCTGATTCCTTTCAATTTGTGTGATAGTACCTACGTATATAAAAATACCGGCAAATTTATTTGGAAACGATCCATTCACGTGAGGGGTTCGTTTACCTAGTCTTATAATATTAGGTGCCATTATTTTAATGTCCTATGTTACCAAAAGTTATGCGATGAGCTTAATGATGTTGACAAAACCAAAATGCATTATCGAAAATTGCAAGTAAAGCCAAACAGAATCACAGTCCATTGTAAAATTATTCTTGTGTTGACCCCGCTGGCCGCTGCGTCTAAATCAGACTAATAACTGATAGTAACTATGTGCTTAATGATAATAACATTAATACTTGATCATGACAATAATAAAATTAGGAAGGCACGGAAAGGACATACTTGTTTCCTTTTCCGATAAAGGTTTGGTTTCTTTAAAACGGCAACCACTTTGTGTGTTTGTCGAGTAATTAATTTTGTGTTTGCAATTAAACGTATTAATTTCCCGTTTTCAGACACGGAATTAAACACGTCTTAATTAATTTCATATTTGTGAAGGGCGGATTTAATTACGTCATAATTCCTTTGGTTTTTACAAACGCGAAATTCACGGGCGCAAGGTTTCTTTGTCAGATTCTACTAACCGTACAATTTTGTCTTTTCTCTCGTTTACACAATTTATCACTTCGGCATCGATGTTAGAACTTCCGTTAAACACAATTCAATTTGCAAACAGAAAGATTCTCGAGTCGCCATATATACCGATACCGGAACCGTTATTTAAGAAATTATGATAACCGTAACCGGTACCGATACCGTTATTATTAGTGTCAAAGAACCGTTACTTTCGGTTCCCTCTCTCTTGTAGCATTGAATATAATTTTTCACTCAAGGTTTGTAGGTAGCACGTTGTGTTTTATATTGTTACGCTTCAAATTTGCTTCTGAAGTGTTGGTGTTAAAAACTTTACCTAGATTTCAAAAGCATCTAGTCAAAATATTTTAGAGCGACTCTAATACCGAAAATGAGTCAAAGACAGTAAGAAGGTTGAAGAGTGTAGGAGCGAGGGAAGTACTAGTTGAAACTACTGCTGAAGAAAAGGAAAAGTAGAAAAAGACTTACCCTATACTTACCGTTGGCAACTCTGGAAAAAATCTACAAGCAGACCCACCTCTTCAAGTCGAAACGATGGACGTTTGCGGCACCCTATTTTCGATATATTTTAATTTCGATGGCAGTCGGCTCGATATGGGTGGCACGATTGAACTCCTAAGTTGTGTAATCGATTCTTGAATGTGTTGGGACGTGAGTCATAATCGGGAAAGGAATTAAATAAAAGACAGAACTTTTGTGCGTAAGAAATGACCAGAACAAAGCCAAAAATCCAATTTCTTACTTTTATTCAGAGCTGCCCACTAATTTCAAGCAACTTGACCATAATACCAAACAAGTCAAAAATATTTTAGAGCGACTCTAATACCGAAAATGAGTCAAAGACAGTAAGAAGGTTGAAGAGTGTAGGAGCGAGGGAAGTACTAGTTGAAACTACTGCTGAAGAAAAGGAAAAGTAGAAAAAGACTTACCCTATACTTACCGTTGGCAACTCTGGAAAAAATCTACAAGCAGACCCACCTCTTCAAGTCGAAACGATGGACGTTTGCGGCACCCTATTTTCGATATATTTTAATTTCGATGGCAGTCGGCTCGATATGGGTGGCACGATTGAACTCCTAAGTTGTGTAATCGATTCTTGAATGTGTTGGGACGTGAGTCATAATCGGGAAAGGAATTAAATAAAAGACAGAACTTTTGTGCGTAAGAAATGACCAGAACAAATAAATATATTACGCATACAACTCAGTGGCGGCGCGTAGTGGTTTGTCTTGGGGGTGCACAATTTAAAAATGGGGCCACGGGCAAAAAGCCGGAGGCGAAAATTTTTTGAGTGTCACCGCAACACGAAGTTTTTTGGGCCTATTAAATGGCATAAAAAAGCGTATTGATTTGATTGATTTGAATTTTCTCGATTTGTCGATGGCTGCGGAGAGAAAGTTCCAAAGCACCACAAAATTTTATACGGTCTATAATTTTGGATAAAACATACCTGTTCTTTTTTACTCCCTCATTACGTTTTTCGATACTCAAACGGTATGCACTATTTAACTGCTGCCTTATATCTTGCTTACCTAATAAATTAAATCTCCATTTAGCAGATATATGATGTGCCTTTGAAGATTGATATTTTTTAATTTTTTCGGATAAATGGACTAAGTCTGTAACGCCATTCTTTGTCCATTCTGATGCCTCATCACCGAGCTCATCACCAAACAACAAACACGGAAAACAATAGACTATTGTTAAAGGTACAACCGCATAACCAGTCAGGTTTTTCATACATGTCTATTTTAAACGATCGTTTATTCTTCCTTTATTGATTTTCGATATTTCCAAACTCGGTTTTGGGCGACCCGCATTTTTTATTTTAATTTGATCTTCTAATTTTAGTAAATTAAATTTAATAATTGTCTTTAAATAATGAACAGTAACGTCGCAACGTTACTTGTTAAAACCGAAACGATCAACACGCTCTACTTCGCAGTCCGGCGAATACTGGTTCACAATGAGAGTGTGCTCTTGCTATACTTTACAACTTGGACCTTCGCGGGGCGCACGGGGAAAGGCGACGTAGCGTTTGAACGAATCAGAGATCGTAGCTAATCGTGCACTGCACAGGAAGGCGGAATGGGAATAATTCTTAATACACGTTCAGCGGTGTGTCAGTGTACCCGTTAGGTTTTGCATTTCAGATAAGATAAGTGAACTATTTTTATTGCGAGATACAAACGTGCAAGAATGTTAAATACATAAATAGAATTGTTATTGTTTTCGTTTTTTTAAAATGATTTTTGGGAGTGCACGTGCTCATGTGCACTTATTGAGAAACCGCCACTGGTACAACTAGACCATGACAGGGAAACCTTCTACGGGACAAAAACCCCGGTATAGGCCACACAAATACATGAAATAAATCACCTACAGCAATAAAATGCAAGAGAAGTAAACAAAACATTGTATGACAAAAATCAGATAATTAAATCGAATGCAATTAAACAAGTTCATAAAAACAAAACACACAAGACACCATAAATGCAGTGGAAAACATGATAAATCAATTCAGTACAAAAACACATCAAAATACCTGTATGATCAATTGAGATAACATAACTCGTAAAATAATAAATTGCATGTACTTAGGAAACATGTAAATGGCGTGGCTCTACTCCAGCCTTCAGCTAACATAAATTAATTTAACACGAAAAGTACATCTGAGAATGCTAATAGCAAGTATTCATGTGAAAATCGATTATCGCTCAAGCAGAATATATTTTAAATAGTGGAAAAGTTAATGAGAGGGCCCCTACTCGCATTGCTAAGATGCTAAGAACTGCAATCCGCACGAGCCGAGTAGGCAACAGATACAGCGAACGGTCGAACTGTATTAGGTACCTACTCCACGGAGACAGAATGAACCACTCGCACACACAAACATCGAAACATCAAATAAGAAAGCCCCCCTTCGTATAGCTATAGCACAAGAACTGCAGCGCGCCACGAATCGGAAAGTAACAGATACGGCTTCCTCGTGAATACAGAAATAAATACTTAATTAAACAAAATAGTGGCATAATCACCTGTGCAGTGTAACAAACAAACATGATTCAGATAACGGTATTCAAAACAAAGGCATGGAGTACGCCATGATTGAGATATCGTAGTTTATGCAAAATCAGCAAAAATGTAAATAATATCAAATTGTGGCAAGAAATTCATTTGTTAATAGCTAGTACAAGAAAGAATAAAATGGTTACTACCTGTAAATACACCTTCAAAACACCACAAACTAAAAAAATCAAGAAGAAAACTGGGAACGTGTGATGCCTTCCGTTGACCTCGTCGCCATCTTCTTCCTTCCGCCACGCTCTTTTTTTCCCCTAGCTTCGTTACGAAAATCCCCTAGTATCCGCCATCTGTCGATTGATTATATACAGAGCATATCATATTTTTGTTTCAGATGTAAAGGTGTGTTGCCTAACCATAAGGGTGGATTATCACAGCCTGTATACGAAGGAAATGTGTTGAATTAGCTTGGCCAAGTTGACTTTTTAGCGGTTCATGCAGGTTCATTTTGTGTTTGAGGTGACTTTGCTTTCTGTATTCATTGCGTTAAGTTCAATTTGTTCTAATTTGTGCCCTTGTCGATTTGCAAAAGGTTAGTTGTAATTGAAATTACTTATATTGTAAATTATGTCGGATTTAGCTGTTTGTAATTCAGTGTAAAGTGATTATTGAATTTGGCGCTATTTGCTTTCAATTGTAAATGTTATTCCTATTTTGATTTGTTTAAGATTGGCCAGTTAATTTCCATTTGTTTGATTATCCTCAGTTAGATTGATTGATTAGCCACTTCAATTCTTTGTGTACGAATCCGCCTTTTTTAAGTGTAATTAACCAGATTAACCTTAACGCCCTTGCAGAGGTAGAGGCTTGAAATACAACTTTAGTCTAATGTTACCGTATCCACGACCTTCAGATACATTCCGGATTGTAGAAGGTCCGGCTAATTAACGATGCATTTTATGTATTTCTTGCAAGACACTTCAGAATGCTATGGGAAAGGATTGCAGGTGCTTTGAAATCTACTTGAGCTGGTCTTTCTTTAGCTTATCAAATTTGGTATTAAATTAACGTCAGATTTAAATTTTTCAAATTCAACAATAATTTATTAATTATTTTGGGTTTAAATGTATCCTGTCTAAATTTGTAGGAACTCTTTCGAATTTTTGGATTCAT